TGGGTCCCGGATGCCAGAGGAAAACCAGTGCCGGCTGCTGGGAGAAGGAAGGCCTACTCTTGCAAGAATTATGCATTGGGCCTCTAGTTTCACCATAAAGAGCTTAATTCCCAGTGGCTTTTAAAAATCAAGCAATCACTAGACCACAGCAACTAGACTTGAATTTTCTTTGGTCTCATTAGAATAGAGGGTGATCCTTGCATTACTCCTCCAAACCCAATTACTAGGCCAGGCCCTCCAACCTCCCAGACATAATCTATTTGGGCCCAAAGATGTCAACAAAGCTAACAACTGAAGCATTATCTATGGTGTTCAGATCAGGGCCGCTCCTACCCAACCCTGGCCATCATTTTTTAAAAACAATCGCGACTATGACATTCAGTCTGGAATAAGGAAGGGTAAGTCTGAAATTCTCGCTGAACTCCAAACTCATCGTTTTTTTCTGAGCTGATATAAAATAACTGTGGAGCAGAGTGTAGTAGAACAAGTGGGCTCCACTCTGGTGTCGGCTGCTGGTCACGTGAGCTCAGAGAAGGCCTTTAACTTCTCAGCCTGGGTTTCTTCAATGCATAACGATACTCCATCAGTCCCAACTACATTTTGTATCTGAATTTAGACCATGGTCTCCACGGTCTCTAAGCTCTTCTGGAAACCACACCCACGATCACCAAAGCTAAAAATAAATAGAGAGAGGCACCAAGGAAGAGAGCTAAACAAAGGCCTGTGGCAGGAATCCCACCCACCAGACTTCAATATCCGCAGGACTGAATCCAGGCTGCCATGGGAATGCTTTAAGAGTATTTTTGTCACCACACAATGTGTTGGCTCATACGTAAGAGTTATATTCATTCACATATTAAACACTGTGTACTGTGTAGAAGGCACCATGAAAGTGAGAGGCAAAGACCCTTTCCTCTTGAAGACGTGCATAGTTACGTTACCTAAATAAAAGTCTAAGTATGTCCATTTTTCCACTGCCTAAAAGACTTGTTGCTGTAAATCAAGCCACATAAATTCCCATAGTTAGATCTTAGAGGAAATAAGCCATAAAAGAAAATTTCAGAATGACACCTGCCTTCCTACGCATCAACCAATTCCAACAACGTACTCCTATGTGCCTTTCTTCTGTAGGCAGTAAAGAATCAGTGTGAGCCCTGGAAAGTGTTGCCAAGTGGTTAGAGTGTGGGCCCCATGCGCGGAAGGGTCATGAGTTCAATTCCCAGTCATGGGCACATAACTGGGTTGCAGATTATCTGCTAGGAAAATTTCTAGGTCCTCCATTAGATAATATTTTGATTTACATATTCAAATTCTTTTCAGCTGTTTTTAAAGACCTGTTTGAGGTTAAAGAAATCTTTACCATTGTTGGTAAAGCCAGGCTTTATTGGGAGGAATGTCTATCTTAAAGTCCTGATAACTTTATTGGTCTTGGTCTATTTTAATAAGTCTTAGTCTATTTTATTTTTATTATTATTTCATCATACGGTTTGTGTCCTGAATTTCTTTTTAAATATTTTTTAAATATATTTTATTGATTTTTTACAGAGAGAAAGGGAGAGAGATAGAGAGCTAGAAACGTTGATGAGAGAGAAACATTGACCAGCTGCCTCTTGCACACCCCCTACCGGGGATGTGCCCGCAACCAATGTACATGCCCCTGACAGGAATCGAACCCGGGACCTTTCAGTCTGCAGACCGATGCTCTACCACTGAGCCAAACCGGTTTCAGCCCTTTTTAAATATTTTTATTTATTTTTTTTAGAGAGAGGGAGAGAGAGAAACATCAGCTGCCTCCTGAAAGCCTACTACCAGGGCTCAAGCCTGAAACCCAGGCATGTACCCTGACCTGGAATCGAATCCGAAACCTCTCTGTGCCTGCACGGGTGACCAACCAACCGAGCTGCATCGCCCAGGGCTGTCCTTAATTTGATTTCAGTGTCCCACCACCTGAGGAGTATAAATTCTAGCAACATGCATACGTTACAAAAAAAGTCCATAAAGCAAATGGTAAAATGTATGTTTAAAAGTAGTTAATTAAGACTTTCTACAGGCAGAGTAACAACTTGCTAAGAAAGAGTAGTATGATAAAAACAGATCAGTTCCAAAAAAGTAAAACAGAAACTTTTTTTAAAAATATATTTTATTGATTTTTCACAGAGAGGAAGAGAGAGGGATAGTTAGAAACATCGATGAGAGAGAGTCATCGACCAGCTGCCCCCTGCACACCCCCTACGGGGGATGTGCCCGCAACCAAGGTACATGCCCTTGACCGGAATCAAACCCGGGACCCTTCAGTCCGCAAGCCGATGCTCTATCCACTGAGCCAAACCGGTGCCGGCAAATAAAACAGAAACTTAACTGTCATTAACTTTGAAAGTAAAGCAGCAAAACAGAAACAACCTCCTGGCTAATTTGCCTAACTCACTGGCCCTGTTTCCCCATCCCCTGATGCAGCTCTGTGGAAACAGTCAAGATTGTTAACTGGGAGCATGATACTACATTCTCCTGCTTTCCTCTCATCTCACTGGGCACACTTCTTACTCTCCTCAGCAATGTCCCCTCCTCATCCTCCCCGCCCGCCGCTAAATGCTGGCTTGTCTCCGGGACTCAATCCTTGAGCCTCTTTTCTAACATCGCTTCCTGGATGATGTTACCCAACATCATGGCTTTATATCTAAATATACATTTAGACCCCTGAAAGATGTCTTTGCCTGCTTGATTAACTCCATTCCAAGGTGCTGTTTCCTCTGCCTGCAATGCTGTTCCCCAAGAAAATCCCTGTGGCTTATTTCCTTGAATCCTTCAGGGTTCTTGTCAAATGCCAACTTATCCATAAGGCCTTCTCTACCACCTTATTTAAAATTGCAACCCCACCACTAACCATTCTGCTGGCACTAGCCTAGTCTTGTGTCTCAGCTTTATTTTTCCCCATAGCAAGCATTAACATCTGGTAAGCTACACATTTTCATTGTTTTTTACACTAGAATGTAAGCGCTATAATGGCAAGGACTTTTGACTGCTTTGTTCACAGCTGTCCCTCATACCTAGGACATACCTAGAAAAAAAAAAAATCTACACCTGAAGGCTTTCAAAATCCTTTCATTCAACTATTTGTTGATACTGCAATGTTATCAGGCAAAATTGTTACTTCAACAAAACAACTATTATAAGGAACAGAAATCTCAATCACCCACACTTATGCGTAGTGTTGCAAAAGGAAAAGCCAGCTTGTGTTTGAAAATTAATTAAAATTATTTTTTTTACTGTTTAATTTGGTTGACTATGTCTAAAGAGTCCCAAGACACACCTACAGGTGTTGTTTTAGCTTCAGTAGGCAATTTACTATTTCTTGAAACAGAGGAAGAAAAAAAAATTATAGGCTTTTTCCTTTTATCTGTCACTACTGACTGAAGGCCTCCAAGTGACCTTGTGCCACAAACGTTTAGTATGTTTAGGGCAGAAGGAATTGTAGAAAACAAAATAATCCTTTCACCAATCCCAGAAGAGGAATCTCTCCAAATACCTCTGCAGACATTTTTTTCTAACTGTGTATGCCTGAACAAAGACATTTTTAATGTATACCTGAAATCTTGGTTGTTAAACAACATGATTACCTAATTATACATACAGAAAAACTGCTACTCACCCAGTTTAAAAAAAAAAAAAAAGTAACTAAGACTAGGAGGTTCTGTTGAAAACGTTTTGTTGTGAAAATGAGTGAAAAAGATGCTCACTTAGCAAAGACGTGGGTTGATGGGTACTGTATCTTAAGGCTGAACAGTTTTGTTTACTATTGTTTATTATTCAGTGCATTATTCCTGGCTCCCACCCACCCAAAAAGAAAAATAGAAGTGCACACACCACACACACACACACACACACACACACACACACGCAACACATTGGAATGCTACATCCAAAGGAAGCTAGCTGTTTGGAAAGGCTATGACCTAAGCGTTTAACACTGACACAGATAAAGTTCAGGCGGTAGATGTCACTTGTCTCATCCATTTAAAGAAAGAAAAAAAAAAATCAAGCTTCAGATCCAAGAAAGCAAGCAGAAAAAGAGGCGTGAAAAATGAAGTCAGTCGCTTCTCCCCGGGGGCCTCCTCCCAACACTACGCAAGGGTTACCCCCACCCCCTCCGCACCCACCCACCACCACCCTCCATCCATCCACCCATCCATCCATCTTTCAGGGCGTCTTTCCCAGCGTCAGCTCCCCAGCTCAGCCCCGCACTGCGCCATCCAACGAGCCCAGAGGCGGCCCCGGAGCTGATCCAGTAGAACCCCGGCAGCAGCACCCGGTGCGCCCGGCCCCGTCCCCGGGGGAGACAGACATCCAACTCCTGGAACTCGGGAGCAGCAGACGCAGTGTCCACCGAGCGCCGTGCCGGCCCCGCGCGTCCAAAGGTCCTTCCTTCCTCGCCAGCCCCGCGAGCTCCGCCAGGCCGACCGGATTCCAGGAGGCGGCTGCCCGTCATCGCGGAACCGGGAACGGTCTGGGACGAAGTCCAGCCCGCCTCCCGCCGGCGCGCGCCCCGCAGCCCCGCCGCCTCCCGCGCCCCCTCCCCGGAGGGCCGTCACGTGCCGGGGCTCAAACTTCGCGGCCCAGGCACCGGGGGCGGGCGGGAGGGAGGGAGGGAGGGGGGGGGACCCCCGGGGTCGCCGCGAGGCCGGGGAGCTACCGCACCCGGTGACTCACCCGCCGCCTGCGCCGGCAGCTGCGGGCGGGGGGACCGGCGCGCGGGTGCGGGTGTGAGCCGTGTCCTCCGGGCCACCTCCGCCCCGGCCCCCGCTCCCGTTATTCCTCACCCCGCGCCCCGGGCTCCGGAACGCACCCTGCCCGCGAAATAAATTTCCGAGTCTGTAAAAATCGCCGCCCGAGCGCCCGCCCGGCCGGCATCTGACTTTGTATGGAGCCCGCACCCCGCCTCCCGCCTCCCGCCTCCCGCGCGCGAGGTCTCCCGCGGCGCCGCCGCCGCCACAGCCCGGCCTTACCCGCCAGCTCGTCGGGCTCCAGCCCGCTGTCCGCGTCGATGCCGCACAGCACGAAGTAGTGCGCGAAGCGGCAGGCGGCCGGGGAGGAGCCCGGGCCGGGCGCCGCGCCGCCGCCGCTCATCCCGGCCCCGCTACGCCCGCCGCCGCCGCCGCTCGGGAGGCTCCTCGCCGCCGCCGCTCGGCTGCGGGCTCCGCGCCTGTCCTAGGGCGATCCCGGCGCGCCCATGCCCGCGCCGCCGCCGCCGCCGCCGCCGCCCGTCCCCGCAGCGCCTCGCTCCTCTCGGGGCGCCGGAGAAGCGCCCGGTCCGTCCCGATGCGGATGCCGGTCCGGCGGGGGAGGGGCGCGCAGGGGGAGTGTCCGCGGGAGAGGCTCGCTCCGCCGCAGCCGCGCTGGCCAGCCGGGAGCCGGGCGTCTGGCGCCCGCAGGTCGGTCAGCTGAGCCCCGCGCCCGCGGTGGGAGCGCGAGGAGGGCGGGAGGGCGGGCGGCGGGGCCGGCGCGTGGGGCTGGCGGAGGGAGACGCCGGGGAGGGCGCGCGCGCGCGAGGGGCACGCGTTCGGGCCGTGCGCGCACGCGCCCCGCGGGCTCCGGGAAGGCGCAGGGCGCGGGCGGGGTGCGTGCTGCCAGCGGGGCTGGCGGCGCGGGGGGGGGGGGGGGGGGGCCGACCACGCACACACACACACACTAGCGCCTCCTGTCCTCCGCCAACCAGCAGCGTAGGTTAGTTAGCCCAAACGCGGTATTCTGCCTTCTGAAAGGATGCCAGACTCATTTTTTTTTTTAAATGCAGCTTTGGGCAAGGTTAAGAGCCACTTTGAGATTATGGCCCCATCCCCATCGTTTAAACTGTGACCTGGGCCGAAGCCGGTTTTGCTCAGTGGTTAGAGCGTCGGCCTGCGAACCGAAGGATCCCAGGTTCGATTCCGGTCAAGGGCATGTGCCTTGGTTGCGGGCGCATCCCCAGTGGGAGGTGTGCAGGAGGCAGCTGCTCGATGTTTCTGTCTCATTGATGTTTCTAACCATCTATCCCTCTCCCTTCTTCTCTGTAAAAAAATCAATAAAAATTAAAAACAAAAAAAAACAAACAAAAAAAAAACTGTGGCATGGGCATAAGCCTATCTCGTGTTCAGAGCCTCGTCCTGGATCCCCCTCACCCTCCTTCGCCAGCCATCCTTCCTCGGTAAATTGGGGAGGCTCTGCGGGAGGATTGGAGAGGAGAAGGAGGGGGGCGGACGACTCAACAGCCACAAAGCATGGAGACTTCTAAAAGAACGGGTATTGCCGAAACCGGTTTGGTTCAGTGGTAGAGCGTTGGTCTGCGGATTGAAAGGTCCCTGGTTTGATTCCCATCAAGGGCATGTACCTTGGTTGCGGGCACATCCCTGGTAGGGGGTGTGCAAGAGGCAGCTGGTTGATGTTTCTCTCTCATTGACGTTTCTAGCTCTCTATCCCTCTCTCCTCCTCTCTGTAAAAAAATCAATAAAATATATTTTTAAAAAAATAAAAAAAAATAAAAGAACGGCTATTGCCAACTTTTCCTCCCCACCCCACCAATTCCCTAACCTAGCCTGACATTTTCCAGGTCAATGGAAAAGGGCCCAGGTGCTCCAGTTTCCCTGCTCTGCATGCACTTCATATTATTGGCTCTCACTTCAGGTACAATCGGAGACTGATAAGGCAGCAGGAATTTGACCCTGAACTCCGCTCCTCACGCGGCCATGGCTTTCTATTTTGCTCTTTCCTCTGACTATCCATTCTTCAGAAGGAGCTCGCCATCCAGTTCTTAACTCCTTTAAAAGGTGAAAAACCGAATGGATATCATCTCCACATTGTTATCTCTTCTTTCAGGATTTGGCTGTAAGGTTGGGTGGGGTGGAGTGTATGTGTGTGTGTGTGTGTGGGGGGGGGTATAATGTGAACACACAAGCAAACCTCTCAGGAAGTAGACTGACAGAATGAGCCTCAATTATTTGACCGAATAATGTTCTTCTTGAAAGATACCATTATTTATTGTAGCTTCTATCCTCATTTCTCTCTCTTCAATTTGAAATAGAAAAAAAAAATCAAGAAATCAGGGTGAGCCAGCCTGGATAATTGACCTTTAACTTCTATTGCACTCTGCCCTTTCCCTTCAAAACACCTGTAATGACTTTTCCTGTGTGTCTTCTTGGCTGGATTGTAAGAGTCACAGAGCAGAAGCCATGCTTTCTGCTTCCTCGTGTTTCTAATAGCGAGCAGAACTCTAGTCCCACATAGCCCATCAACTTATATTTATTGAATGAACTAGGGGCCTGGTGCACAAAATTCATGCACGGGGGGAGGAGGGTTCCTCAACCCAGCCTGCACTTTCTCATAATCTGTGGCCCTTTGGGGGATGTCCAACTGCTGGTTTAGGCCCGATCCTGCAGGGATCCCTGTGGGATCACACCTAAACCAGCAGTCAGACATCCCTCTCCCAATCCAGGACCACTGACTCCTAACCACTTACCTGCCTGCCTGCCTGCCTGATCTCCCCTAACCACTCACCTGTCTGCCTGATTGCCCCTAACCACCTCTGCCTGTCTACCTGATTACCCCTAACCACTTTGCCTGCCTGCCTGCTTGATTGCCTCTAGCGCTCACCTGCCTGCCTGATTCCCCCTAACCGCCTCTGCCTTGACCTCTGCTTCTGCGGTTTCGTCCAGAAGGACATCCAGAAGGTCGTTCGGCTGTCTGGTCTAATTAGCATATTATGCTTTTATTATTATAGATGACAGAAGGGTGGTTATCTAGGTAGTAACATGCTATAGAAAAATACACAAACTTTAATATCTATAACATATTTATGAATGCATGCTAATTTGTTATACGATTATTGCTTTTCCTCATATAGAGGGCACTACCATTTGTAAAGCAAAGGGGAGGGAGTGCCCTGGTCAGGTAGCTCAGTTGGTTAGAGCATTGTCCAGATACACCAAGGTTGCAGGTTTGATCCCATAAAAGAACCAATGAATGAATAACTAAATGGAACAACAAAACAATGCTTCTCTCTTCCTTCCTCTCTCTCTAAAATAAAAATAATAAAATAAAAAGAAGGGGAGCCCTAGCTGGTTTGGCTTAGTGGTTAGAGCATCAGCCCATGGACTGAAGGGTATCAGGTTCAATTTCCGTCAATGGCATGTTCCTCAGTTGCAGACCCAATCCCCAGCCTTGGCTTGAGGCTCGTATAGGAGGCAACCAATTGATGTGTCTCTCTCACATCAATATTTCTTTCTGTGTCTCTTCCTGTTCTTTCTACTCTCTCAAAAAAAAAAATTTAAAAAATCAATGGAAAAAATATTCTGGGGTGAGGATTAACACAAAAAAAGGAATTGAAGAAGAAGAAGAGGGTGACGGAGGTATATGTGTTTCTCCTATTTTTGTTATAGCTTCTTACAGAATGTTTGTTAAATTCTAGACTATTCAAACAAAGAACAACAAAAAAATGAATTTACTGTTTGCACTAGTCAAGAGATCTGTTACTTTTTGTTCATTTGAAAAGTAACCGATTTATGAGCTTGAAAGCCCTACATTAATGTTTTTAAGATGATGAACTAGAATGAAGCCCAAACAAACAGAATGTATTGAAACATGACCTATAAATCTCATTAAATTAGACAAAAATCTTTCATAAAGATTTCAAGAAGATAGTGACGTTCTCTGCAGGATTTCAGACTAATTTGAAAATATCTGCATACATTTCTAATTATCACTTCAAAATAACACTGTGTAGGTATAATCTGCGGTAAACTGCGATGAACAGTTGAAAGGATAATCAAGAATTAACTACACATCGTTGCACACATGTTTTCCTCCAAAATGATGACAGAGATAAATTAGTGTAGTGAACAAACACAAATGACTTGAAATAAATTTTCCAAAACATTTACATTGTATTGCGGAGGAGAGAGATCATATCCTGTTCCCACATTAAGACAACTCTTGTCAACCCCAGTCTTCAGCTCCACCATGCCATCCACACATGCACACACACAGGAGAAAAGGGGTTGCTAAAGCAACTCTAAAGCCATTCATGGGACCACACTTCCCTTGTAGTCCGTCACCTTAAGCCGCCAGATTAGCAGTGCTATCAATTTCTACTCTTCTGTTTCCCGTAGGCAGCAGCTGCTGGCAGAGCTCAGCTAGTCCAAGTGCAAGTCATGCCCTCCATCTGAGGTTTTCCTACAGTCCTTCCAGGGTAGCAGATCGCTGCTCAGGTGCTTGGGACGTTCTCTGGCATTCTGCTGTTGTTTCTTGTGCATTTGCTGCCTGAATTGAATTGAGAATTTATTGCAGTGGCGGCCATAATCCCAGCTTTAACCTCTAAATAACACAAAACATGCCAAATAATCACAATTCCAATGGAAGAAAACCTTGAGTGACATTTTCTTCTGCCAGGGTTTGAACTTTCTGAGAAAATCTTGTCACAACAAAAAGTTATTTGGAAAATCAATAATCATATTCCCTTATCATAGTTTCAGAAAAAGATCAGTTTATGCCAGGAAGAGTTTGGTACAAAACAATTTCACATAAATCTGTTTCTACCTTATACAATAAGTCCAACATTATCTCCCCCAAAATCTCCTGTACGATCCCTCTTCTTCAGGAATTTGTAGTCTAGAAGGAAGGAAAATACTTCTCAGAAATAATTAAAATACCAAAAAGAGATGATAAAAATAAAATGTGGTATACAAGAGGAATAAGATTTTTGTCAGGTAGATATAGGAAGGAAGACATTCCAGGCACACAAATGAATGGGGTATAAAAAGTGTGCAGAGGACAGTAGTTCAGTTGGAGTCAGATCATGAAGAGCTTTGAATGCCAGGTAAGTAGGGTTGACTCACTTTCTTATACTTTTACTAGAGGCCTGGTGCATGAAATTCATGCACAGGGGTAAGGGGTCCCCTCAGCCTGGCCTGCACCCTCTTGCAATTCAGGACCCCTCAGGGGGTGTCTGACTGCAGTCGGACATCCCTCTTGCAATCTGGGACTGCTGGCTCCTAACGGCTCACCTGCCTGCCTGATCACTCCTGACCACTCTGCCTACCTGCCTGATCACGCCTAACCTCCTCTGCCTCGGCCTCCCCTCTCCCCCACACGGCTTC